GTAGAAATATGGTTGTCATAAATGTGTATTTAAGACATCAGCGCTCCCTAACTCCCTCTGAGTCTTTTAATCCCGAGACAGCAGTTACAGACCTTGGATATGTCTTGAAAGGTTTTTAGGATCAGATGACAATCTTTCTTCTATTTGGGACTTTGTATTTTCTTCCAGTTGTTACTTGGAAGTTCCCATTGCTTATTTAAATTCTTTACTTCTGGTGTCCATATAGCGTTGTAGTAATCTATCTTTAGGTGCTTTGCTTTCTATAAAATGTGAAATAATATTTTAAGTACATTTTTGTCTCTGAAGCAAATGGTTTTTCAGTGATTGAGAGGATTTTCTTTTTTAAGTTTAGAGGGTCTTAAAGAAATGCCAGCCATTAGGTTCATGTGTTTGGCTTGCAGGGCACTTTGCCATTCCCCACAATGGTGCTTGAGAGCCTCATTTTTATTATTAATGGTGATATTTATTGTAGCAGCCACATGGTGCTTTCTTTACGTTTTTCTCATTTCGTCTTTTGACAATCTGCTGAAGTAAGTAATGCTGAATTTTAGAAATGAAACGATCCGTATTCCCTTACTCAGATTCCAAATACTGCAGTACAGCCTGGATTTGAACACAGGCAGTGGGCGGCTCACTCTTGCAGACAGCAGCGTGGCACAGGAGCCTTTAGGGGCTTGGGAGCCTTTGGGTGGCCCAGAGCTTCCTGCTGCTCTAGGCCTGGGAGATGAGACTTCCATCTTCTGGGCTTGTTACCTGATTCCCTTGAGGTGGACATTCTTTTTCTAGTGAGTCTTCTCCCTTTGCAGGCAAGCCTTCCCTTCACGAGACACAGAGAGCATGTGTGCTCTGCCCGCTTTGCAACCTGGGAAGGGTAGACATCCAACCAAGGGTGTAGGTTGTACATAGAATGATCGAGCAGCCCGGAGGTCCAACACTTTGTCTGTCCTGCTCCCCAATCTCGGTAGCTGCCATCCCCCTGTCAGGCGGTGCTGGGTGGGGAGTAGGGAGGACAACGAACAGGACACAGGTGTATCCAGGGAGCAGCTGATGGCGGTATCAAGGCAATCCTCTTCAGTAAGGAGGGAGAAATCGCCACTCTCAACTTAGAATTCTCCACAGATGGCGCGCTTGGCATTTCTAGTTGTCCCCATTGAAGTAAGTATTTGGAACCAAATGCTGCCATGCTGTTCCTCAGACTCTGTTAATATTTTATTTAAAATTAGTAGCAAGGATAAATGTTTAAGTCCAAACACAATTTTAAAACAGAACCTGGACATCTTAGACAGGCTGTGTGTTGGAAAGACAGCCTGCTCATTGACAGTGCTTGTAATTTGCTGCTCTTTCTGCCTTTTCTCCTGATTACCTGGGGGATTCACCAAGGGTGAGAAGGCTTTGCTCACATTTACCTGCAAGGAAGCATGGGAAACTGTGAGAATCTCACAGCTAATGGAAAATTAAAGGTTTTTCGACTCAGTGTTACTGCTTGTGAATTCGAATGACAGCCATTAAGAAATGATCACGCGTTGAGACGCCCACCTTGGAATAATTTGGCACCTGGGTGAACTTCTTGATTTATTGCCGTTCATGGTGATACTGCTACAGGCAAAGGTGTCTACTACCTTAACTGGTTTCCTCATTGGTTTCTGATGGGTCTTATAATCTGCTTAGAATGTAGTGTGTGTGGGTGTATAGATGAGAGAGACAGGCAGTGAGTAAGTTTTCTTCTGCAGTCTTGATATCTGATTGCTGACTATAGAAACATTAAAATAGTTTTTGGCTTCATCACCACTTTGATCCTGTGGATAATAAGGAGAAGGTCAGTGGCTGCTATGACTTGTGCTAAGCAACTTCTTAGCATTTTGAAAATCATTAAGACCTCCATCGATCAAGTTTTAAGTAACATAAAGAAACAAACTAGCTGTGCAGCTCCTGGATGTCAGGTTTGCGCTCAGCATTTTATGTGTATGATCTAATTTAATCTTCATGATGGCTTTTAAGGGTCGTCAGTATTATTCCTCTTTTAAAGACTAGGAAATTGATGCTTAATGAGAAAGCTTAAATAACTCGCACAAGGTCAGATGGCCAGAACAAGTGGTTGGAGGTAGGGAAGTGAAACTTGTCTGTTTGACTTCAAAGCCCAGTGAAAAGACTGCCCTTTTTTGGATTGGAATGAGCATTTCAAACAATCAAAATGTATGTCAGTGGACTCTTAGTACTTAGGCAAATTTACTGTTATTAAGGGATTAGGGAAACAGCTCTTTACTCTTCCACCCTCCAAGTAAAGATCGAACTGAGGCAGCTGTCTGCTTTCAGCCTCCCTGTGATTGAGATAATGAAATTCTCAGAGCACACATTTCTCCAGTTCCCTATACATGAGGTTATTTAAAGGCAGTACTCTAGTTCCTATCTTCGTCTGTAGTCCTATTAGTTATGTGCAGATTAAATCCACAGGACCCTTATAAGCTACTATGGGGTTCAGGGTAACCCCGAATTCTAATTTCTATCCTGGCTCCCACATCCCAATCTCTGGGTGATTTGTAACATGATGAATTGTGAACATTTAACAGTTTTTAGAGCCTTGCTGCTTACCTGAGGCCAAGACAACTTTGAATATCCCAGCCATGTGTTCTGATGCTGATTCTTCTCTTTCCAAATCCAGCTCAGGCTTCAGGTCTTCACCCTCAGGGCATCTTTCTGCGAGGAGATCAGCTCTTCCTTGATCTTTTCCTTTCTCATTTCTTTGACATCTTCTGGCTGTGTTGCTAAATCAGCATCTTGTTACAAACAACCTCCATTTCAGTGTGTGTATGTGACTATTTAGTCTCCGTGTCTGTGTCTTATATCACCAGTAATATTATGAGCATCTCCAGAAAACTGTCTCGTACATGTTGTATTTCTCTAATGTTTCATGGTTGGTATTCTGCTAGGCACATCATAGATGTTCTGTAAATATTTGATAATTATACTACTGAACCTGGCACGATTTCAGTATATCATCCACCTCTCCTTTCTGAAGCTAAGTGAGCATTAGGACACTTAGAACATAAATTTTACACAGAATTGAATTTTATAAATAGGTAGCACATTGACATGGTTCAAAATGAAAGACCGTAACAAGACAAAATGAAGTGATCTTTTGTTCCTACCCTCCCACTCCCTCCACAAAAAGTAAACTACCGTTTTAGTGTCATGTGTATCCTTCTAGAGTACTTCTGTGTTTTCAGCAAATAATTTTAAATAATAGTGAAAAGAAAAAGAAAATAATTCTTTTCTGACATAGAACTTTGCATGCCACACAATGATTCTGCACCTTGGTTTTCAGACTTAACTGTATAACTTAGAAATTTTTCAAGATCAGTTAACGGGGACCATATCACTATTCTTTTATAGGTCAGTGGTATTCCATTATGTGGGTATATCACAATTTATTTAACTTGTTCCACACCGATGGATATTTCATTTGTTTCCCATTCTTTGTCATTAAATATACTTTGCAGCAACTTGTGGGGCTGTTGATGACATGTCACCTGGGTATAGGTGTCTCTGGAGGATATATTCCCACATAAGGGGCTGCTGGAACGAGGAAAGTATACTCGCAACTGTCACAGATCTGCCATGTTGCTGTTCTCAGAAGCTTGTCACCTTTTTCTTCCATAAACTTGTTTCCGTGGGGCCCTGTTAGTAGATGTTGACTCAGATGTATGCATTTTCGCCCTTCAGATGGGTGAAAGATGCTGTCTAAATGTGGTTTCTATTTACATTTATCTTATGAGTCAGTTGAACATATGTTTTATATGGTGTAAGGGCCATTTATATTTTTTCGTGAACCATCTGTTCATATCATGCCCATCAATAAAAGTTTGCATTTTGATGTTTTTTTCTACTTTAACACTCGGCTTTATCATTGGTAGTAGTGGTTTATTTCCTTGCAGAAATTTTCCATTTTTAGGTAATCAAATTTATGGAGCTTTTCTTTTTGATAGCTTTTGAATTTCAAGATGTTAGGCCTTCTCAACCTCACAAGGCTATGTGTTTTCTTATAGCACTTCGTTTTTCTTTAAATCTTTGCTACATTTTGAGTCTTTCAGAGATGAATCCAACTTTGTTTTTTAGATGGCTGTCTAGTTATTGAAAGATTTATCTCCAGTAAGATGAGATGCCAGTTTTCTCATAGACTGAAGTGTAATTTGGATTATATATTGCTACTGGGCAGAATGTAAGCGCTGGTGCTGGGGATGTAGCTCAAGGGCACAGCACCTGGCTGGCAAGTGTGAGGTCCTGAGTTTGATTTCTGGTACCAAAAAAAAAAAAAGAAAGAAAAGAAAAAAACGTAAGCACTGAACTAACCATTGAGGTGGGTAACTTAGTGCACCTATTCATGCAGCAAGCGTTTATAAAGCACATAATAAATTAAATAATTACTGTATGCCATGCTTTGGGGATATAAATTTGAATGTGAACAAATCTCTGAAGAAAGGAGCTAGTATAATAGCTAAGTATATTATACTTAAATATACTAAGTATATCTAAGTATATTATAATAACTAGGTATTATATCAGTGCAGTAGAGTAAGATAGTGGGGAGGTTAAGAAAACCAGGGAGATGCTTCCCAGAGCAGGCCACACTGAGTGGAGTCTTGAAAGTTCAATAGGAGTTTTCCAGCAAGGAGGGGAAGGACATTCTAGGAAGAGGAAATAATGAGGAATCCATGAGTCCAAGGTGTTTGGGGAGATTTTGTTTACCCCTTCATGATCATAGTGTGGGACGGGACAGTAGTCAGAGATGGCAGCAGGAGGACAGTTCATGGAAAGTATCCCTCTTAAGTGATATCTGGGATTTGGGCATGCAGTAATGCTCTACCTCCCCCAGTGCCTTCCTCCCTCGAAGCAGGTGAAGGGGAAGGATTAAAGGGTCCCAGGTAGATGGGAGGCACCACTTAGACGCTTAGTCCTGTTCTGCAGGTCAGTTGTTGAGTTTTGACACCTGTTGCTTATTCTAGAGTACTCCAAGCTCCCGGAGCCGAAGTCTCACTTTGCTCCCCCATGGAACGCCCAATTCTGCGTCTCCCTGTAGCCAGAGACACCTCTTTGCGGGGGCCCCTGGTGTGGTCACAGTCACGCATCACAAGTCGCCTGCAGCCGCCCGAAGAACCAAGAGTCAGTATCCCGGCCAGCTTCACGAAGTCAGAGAGGTAGGCTTCGCGCTCCCCCTAGGTTAAGTGGCCCCTGGGATTTGCGATGTGCTGTGGTTCTTCCAGTTCCTGTTCCTTCAGACCACCTGGATTTATGAAGAGAGGGGACCAGCTGTCAAACAACCAGCCACATAGCCTTGGCCATCCTTCCTGCTTTTTAAAAAATAGTAGGGCTTGGGATATAGTTTAGTGGTAGAGTGCTGGCCAAGCATGTGCAAGACCCTGGTTTCCATCGCCAGTCCTACTAAATGAATGCATAAAAAATAATGGTTAATGCTGTGTCTTAGGTTAAGAGACATTGCTGTGAAAACAGTGAAAGCAAGCCCACAGAACTGAAAGCAAATGGAGTACGATCAATGAAAGCTGCCATCTTCACAGTGAAGGCTAGCAGTGTGAAATAATGGTTACTCAGGAGATAGCATTTTCAAATTGAAGAGTATTAGGCCTGATGCTAATTTCCCTCTTTTTGGCCCTGCCTTGCTGTCCTTGTAAAGTGCCTCCATCTGTCCCTCACAGACACCCCAAGGGAGTGTTGGGAAGTAAAAGGAACACTGTCCTTGAAGTCAGGAGACTTTAGTGTTTAAGAGCAGTCTTTACAGCTCTGAACCTCAGTTTCCATATCTGTAAAATGGAAATAAAACCAGCTTTGCAGCCTACCAGGGGAAATAGGATATCTCCTGATATTAACCATGGAGTTCTTTAACCATGTCTTGGAAAAGTGATTTGAGAGTATTTTTATTTGTGAAATCCTGGGAAGCCATCACGTTAGGATCCCAGATGCTTAGTATCCATATCATCCCTTGTAACCATGGTGGAGAACAGAATACACAAGGTACATGATGTTGATCGTGGTGGCCTGGTCTCTGTTGAGGGCTGAGGCTGTCACGCTTGCAGCTCGCTTGAGCCGGGCTAGCTCGTTCTCCTCTTGGAGACCAGGTTTTTCAGGCCATTTGCGGTGGTGCACATCTTCTGTTCTAAACCTCACAAACCAGTTGATATTCCGCAGCTATCAGTCTGATCTGGGTCTGGGCAGGAAATTTAAAATCTTTTGAATTGTATAAGATACTTTCAGTTGATTTTATGTGCTTATGCTCTGCCTTATAAAGAAAAAGCAGAGCCAGAGTTCTGTTCTCGTTTTCGGGTAGACCGCTCACTTTGAACACTCGCCCTCATGCGTTAACAAACAGTGAAAAGGAAACACGGCTCTTACCTTAATTGTGTTATGTGGGTTGATGCGATGAACGAGCGTGTCCATGCGTACACTGCTACTCACTTTTCGCGGCACCTTCTCAAAACACTGGTATGGAAAACAGAAAAATTTCAAATATATCCAAAATAAAAGAAGATATTATTCTGTGCTATTAGGCCATGATCCAGCACCTAACTTCAGGGATTCAGCTTTATGCTGTTGTGGTTTGATCTGTTTTAACCTCCCCCACCAAACACACTTTTTCTTGCTGAAGAATTTTAAGAGAAGGCTGAACATTTATCATTTTATTATTCCTAGTAAATGCATCAGTATTTATGTAGCCAGAATTTTTTTTAACAATTTAATGATATCATTATTGTTGAGGCATTTTAGTAGCATTTGATTTAGTATAATGCTGTAATACTTTCTTCCTTCATTTAAAAAGTTTTTAAAAGAATAAAAATATGTTTTTTGTAAAAATGTATATGGAGACATTTAGCCATGTCAGGTATGTATGTATCACCCCACCAAAAAAAAATTACCCATAATCCTACTTTCTCACAGGTAACTGCTATTAATCTTTCCATGAATTGACTTACCAATTTTTATGTTACGTATATAAAATTTTACAGTGTGATCTAAATTTTGTAAATGATTATGCATGTTTTTTCTTCATTTTTTACCTATGGGGAGGAATTCCTAAATTTTTCCATGTAATTTCATTATATGAAAACGTAAAACATCTCCAGAGCCATTTTTAGTGTATTTTAATTTTTTTAGTACTGGGGATGGAACCCAGGGCTTTCACACTGGGCTGCATCCCCATCGGGTTTGTGAATTTTGAGACAAGATCTCGCTAAGTTGCTGGATTGCCCTAGCTGGGCTCAAATTTGAGATCTCCCAGCTGAGCCTTCCAGCGTGCTGGGATTACAGGCATGTACTACCCTGTCAGGCCTTGAGTGTGTTCTCTGTTTGTGGGTGACAATATGTTTTCAGATGATTGCTTTTGTACACTGATGACCTTTCTTGCTGAAAGTTAATTTTAAGTAAGACTGAGCTGTACGTGCCATTCTTATGAGATACTCAGCCCCTCTAGGAGGAGCTGGAAGTCATCACTACTGATTAGAGAAGGGCAGCAATTTTATGGTGTCTGTCATTTTATAATGTGGTCAGATCCATTTTTGGAACTATCTGAGCAAATCTCACTCATACCAGAAATTTCTGTACTTATTAATCTGAGTATAAAGACCTCTGCTTTTAAATTCCTCTGTGTTTATCTTATATATAACTAGAGGAAAATGGAATAGCACTTTTAACCCAATGTATACGGAAGATAAACTTATGAACACTGAAGCAATGGAGTGTACAGAAGACAGATGTGCCTGAATATCAAAAGAATAAAAGAAAAATAGCCCAGCCAAAGGCAGTGGAATAAATATTAAATGGAATGCCACAGCATGGGTGAAAATAATGGGACAGCTTAAAAGATTAAGTGGTTATTATCTGAAGTATAAAGGACAGAGATAGCAAAGGTTAGAACCCAAAGTCCTTGTGGAAAGTGGTTAGGAGCAGAGTCCAGGGAATTTGAGGCACTGCGTCATCATGAGAAATAGGTATGTGTTTACTAACATTTCAAGAGATGAGAATTAAAATGTATTTGTTAATGAAATTATCAGAATTATAGCTCATTATTGGTTGGGTGTTTAGAAATGTTAGCAGCATAGCATATTGTCTTTTTTTCTACAGTCTGGTGGTGTATCCTAATAACTAAACATAAAACTACATTGCACTGACCCATAAATTCCCTCCCTATTGTGAACTGTGTTATGAGGAAACTATCCATGGAATCAAGGGAGGAAGAGGAAAGTTAGTTTCAATAAAACTATTCTTATTAATAGTCATAGATCCAATGCAAACATTATGGGAATGGCTATATAAACAATTAATGTATTGAATATACTGAATCACTGTATAGCAATTTCTGATAAAAGTCCAGGGGATATTACTGCTAAATAGACATGAGTATGTGAGATAAGCAAAAGAAATCAATATATAGAATAATAGGCAGATATTGGACCCTGTGTTTCTCTTAATAAACTCTTTTTTTTTTTTTTTTTCCTTGGTACTGGGACTCAAACTCAGGACCTTGCATTTGCCAGGCAGGCACCTACACTGCTGAGCTATATCCCTGACCCTTAATAAACTCTTAACAGTTTAAAATGGTGGCTCCCCTAGAATTTTGGATTTTACTTACAAACTAAGTCTTAGTAGCAGAGTTAATTAGTTAATTAATTATTTTTTTCTTTTTGAGACAGGGTTTTGCTATGCAGTTCAGGCTGACCTTGAACTGATTTTGTAGCCTAGGCTGGCCTCGAACTCGGAGTGATCTTCCTGCCTCAGCCTGGTGAGTGCTGGGACCATAGGTGTGCACCACCACCCCTCGCCTACAAGTAGAGTTTAGGGAGCCACAAAGCACTGTAAAATTTTTTGTGTGTCATCCAGCAAGGACATTTTTAAAGGCACTATGGCAATCTATGATCTGTGCTTACCGCTGTTTCATACCTGCCCCCCAAAGTCATATGTGCTCAGAAAACAGGGCCATGTGCTGCACTGAAGAAGTTTGATTTTGTCCCAAAAAGTTCAAATTTTCTTGTTTCTAATATTTTATCTTGACTGGAAGAGAATTCATTACAACTGATCTGTGTTTTTAAAAAACTGGGTTTTAACTTCGAAGCATTTCTTAGTCCAACCCGTCTTCTCCAGGGCTCATTGCCCATCTCCCCTCTCTGCGGTTCATGTTTTACTCCACCTCCAGGAAATCATCTTCCACAGTGGCAACACTTTATTGTGCTGATGGAGACCACTACGAAGCAGCCCTGGGCAGGACTTAACGAATTGGCTTTTCATGTTTGATTGTGCATCTGTCCAAGGCTTGGGTTCCCTATCTGGAGATGGGCAGTGGACTTATAGTAAGTGAACCTCTGTGAGTCACTAATCCCTAGTAAGGCCTGTAATGGCGGATGAAGCCGGAAAGCCTCAAAGGATAAGACAAGATCCTAGCCAAGTGTACCTGGCTCCAACCTCAACTAGATAAAGACTGTAGCCTCAGAAATCTCACTCCTGGGTGGATTAATTTAATACCTTACTTGGAGAAGTCCTTGAGTGGTTCCACCCTTCTTAAGTACTCCCTGCCCTTCTTCTGATAACTAAACAAAACAGGCCACCCAGAGAAGGTCTTGGTCTTAGCTGAGAGAATCTTGAATTCTGTGAGAGGGCTTCAATCCTCCTGCAGCCCTGGAATCATTCCATTTGCCTCTTTATATTTAGCCTTTGCTGTACACTTATTTAGGGGGATTGCGGACCTGATCAGCCTGCAGTAACTAAAGGGTATTAACCTGATATTGTGCCACCTTTTGCTGGTAAGAAGTTTAAATGCCTTTGTGATGCACTCTTGTTCAAAGAATAAGGGTTGAGCCCTTCAGTCTGCAAGCGAGGCCTCGTGTGGTCTGTACACTCTGTCCCATCCGTGCTCCTCCCTGCTGTGCTCTTCCTTCCTTCCTCCCCAGAAGACCAGCTGGACAGAACTTCACGCTGGGATGGACATGCTTCCCACCTTGCTCTCCAGTAGAGCTCCCGGTGAGTGTTCTGAAATGTTGACGATCTGAATGGAGACATGCTGTATATACAGGGTAAACATACTGCCAGCTCCAAAGACTTGTGTAAACCTGGCAAACTAGCTCATGAAATGACATTTTTAATAATAACACATAGAAATGATGTCTTTCATCTGATTAAACAAAATATAATACAG